TTAACCCGCTGCGCCACAGCACCGGCCCCAAATAAATAAATCTTTTAAAAATATTTTTAAGAAACTAAAATATTTTAATGCTGAAACTTTAAAGTTTTTTTCTAAAATGTGAGCTACCAAAACTATTAAAAGGCTGACTAAATTATATATAACATTTCACTGTCATCAAAAGACTATGACTGATAAGCAAACAGAATACCCTCATGGCTTCTAGTCTATGAAATGGCGTATTAAATATTTTTTATGTATTTACTTATTTATTTTACTTTTTATTTTAATTTTTAATTAGCCTATTATATTTCAAGGTTAAAATGCCACTATATTCTCAAAAGAGAAAACAGTATTGTTTCTAATAGGTATAAATAAGAAAGTATTTGCTATATACTTATCATATATATATTTTGACTTCCCTGAAAAATACTACTCAAATTATTAAATACTAAAACAATTTTCATATGCTAAAAAATGTTTTCTTACCTGCCTGTTGGAAAACCAGAATTTCCTTTCATGGTATGCTGATAAGTAGAGAGCATACATCATGCCACTAGTAATTGCTGCAAGACAGCCAATGAAAATCTTTGCAAAGCGTTGAAATAACACATCTGAAAAAGCATATTAAAGATTATCAAAAGGTAATATGTACTCTTAAAAGGATGCTATAAAAATGGCATACTAATTCTCTGGTCTTCCTCCCAAAAACCTAAACCTCAGTCTAATCATGAGGAAAAACATCAGACAAATTCCAATAGAGAGCATCCTACAAAACAAGTATTTCAAATTAATCAAAATCAATTAAAACAAGGAAGGCCTCAAAAATGAGCATAGCCAAGAGGAGCCCAAGGAGACATGACAACTAAAAGCAATATGGCATCCCAGATGGGATTCTGGAACAGAAAAAGAATATTCGGTTAGGGCACGGTGCTGTGGCCCAGCAGGTTAAAGCCCTGGCCTGAAGCACTGGTATCCCATATAGGCCCCGGTTCTAATCCCAGCTGCTCCTCTTTCGATCCAGCTCTCTGCTATGGTGTGGAAAAGCAGCAGAAGATGGCCCAAGTCCTTGGGCCCCTGCACCCACATGGGAGACCTGGAAGTCCTGTTTCCTGACTTCAGATCAGCTCAGCTCCAGCCATTGTGGCCATCTGGGGAGTGAACCAGCAGATGGAAGACTTCTCTCTCTGTCTCTACCTCTCTCTCTAACTCTTTCAAATAAATCAAAAAAAAAAAAAAAAAAGAATATTGGGTTAAAACTAAGGAAATCTGAATAAAGAATAGACCTGGGTTAATAACAATTTATCACTATTAGTTCAATAATTTTAACCAATGTAACACTCTAATGTAAAAGGTTATTAACCAGGGAAATTGTAGGGGAGAATATGATAACTCTTTTATTTACTCAATTTTATGAATCTAGTGTATAATTTACAAGATTAAAAAGTTCAGAAGATTTGTCTCACAATAATACAACATAACTGTACTGTTAAAAATGGTTAAGATGATAAAAAAAATTGGGGCTGGTATTATGGAGCAGTGGGTTAAGCCATTGCCTGCATCCTATATGGGCACCATTTCACGTCTCAGCTGCTCCACTTCTGATCCAGCTCCCTGATAATGTACCTGGGAAAGCAGAAGGTGACTCACATCCTAGGATCCCTGCACCCATGTGGGAAACCCAGCTGAAGCTCCTGGCTTCACTCTGGCCCATCTCTGGATGTTACAGCCATTTGGAGAATGGACCAGTGGATGAAGATTTTACTGTATGAGTCTCTCTCTGTAACTCACCTTTCAAATAAATATTTTTAAATTATGGTAAAAAATTAAAATATATTAATTTTAAAAAAGTAGTCAAAAGATATATACACACTACTCAAAATCTAAAGAGGGGCCAAATCTACAGAGAGAAAGAGAGACCAATCTTCCATCTGTTGGTTCACTCCCAAAATGCACACAACAGCTGGGGCTCTTGCCAAGCCAAAGCCAGGAGCCTGGGACTCATTCCAAGTTTCCCATGAGGGTGGCAAGGACTCAGGTACATGAGGCATCATCTGTTGCTGTATACTTTTTTTCAAAAAAAATATTTATTTATTTAATTTATTTGAAAGGCAGAATGAGGGTCTGGCATTGTGGCATAGTGGGTAAAGCCACTGCCTACAATGCTAGTATCCTGTAAGGATGCTGGTTTACCTGCTGTAGCATAGCGGGCGGGTATAAGTGCTGCCTGCAATGCCGGCATCCCATATGGGCACCAGTTCGAGTCCCAGCTGTTCCATTTTGGATCCAGCTCTCTGCTATGGCCTGGGGAAAGCAGTAGAAGATGGCCCAAGTCCTTGGGTCCCTGCACCCATGCTGGGGACCTGGAGGTAACTCCTGGCTTCGGATCAGCAAGGCTCCATCAGATGCAGCCATCTGGGGAGTGAACCAGCAGATGGAAGACCTCTCTCTTTCTCTCTCTATCTGCCTCTGCCTCTCTGTAACTCTGCCTTTCAAGAAAATAAATAAATCTTTACATGGATTCAGGGACACAAGCTCTTGTGCTATCTTCTGCTGCTTTTCCAGGCACAATAGCAGAGAGCTGAATCAGAAGTGAAGAAGTTGGGACTTGAACACCTTGTGCTCATATGGGATGTAGCAGGTGGCAGCTTACCCCATTATACCACAATGCCACCCCCAGAACTACTTCTTTTTTAAATAATATTTGTAATTTTTTTATTTGAAAGTCAGAGTGACGGAGATAGGGAGAGAAAGAAAGAGAGATCTTCCATCCACTGGTTCACTTCCTGAATAGTCACAACAGCCATTTCAGCCTAGGTCAGGCTGAAACCCTGCGCCAGAAACTCTATCATAGTCTCCCCCTTGGGTGGCAGTACCCAAAGTACTTGGGCCATCTTCTACTTCCTTCCCAGGCACATTAGCAGAGGGCTGGATCAGAAGCAGAGTAGCAAGGACTCAAACAGCACTCTCATATGAAATGTTGGTGTCCCAAGTGACAGCTTAACCCTCCGAACCCCAAGGCTAACTAACTCCTTAAGAACTTTTTCTTTGTTGAATAACCTACTATAAACTACAGCCATTTAAAGTATGCAATTCAATGAATTTTGATGATTATGTCTTAAAAGATCCCATAGAACTGTTTGATTTTTTAAAAAAAGATTTATTTGAAAGGCAGAGTTATATTCTCCAAAGTCCTCTTCAGACATAGTTACTGAGTGTAACAGAAATGGAAGGACCTTTACAAAAACCATGGAGAACAACGAACCAGGTGGGAAGCAACTCCCAAGGATAAAAAGTGGAGAACAATTATAAAATATTCCCCTATGTCAAAGGTAAGGAGATCTCAACTGCCTAGCAGGATTTGAGAACTGCTATTGAACAGGGACTGGTGTGTGTCTCCCACTCTTCCTTTTCTAAATGGAAGCTTTTTTTTCTTCTGTTATCCTGTTCCTGTCCAACAATGTATACTGAGAGTTTCAGGCCTGCAAGTGTTTCCTAAGAAAGGCCCACTTGCAAAGTGGGCTCTTGGCTGGCATCTGGACACTTGGATTTCAGGAAGATTCCCACCATTCTCTCACTGGCAAGGGTGGTTTACTGTGCCTACCTGGTTTATACTTTCCTCCTGGGAGTCTAGAATTTTTGAATTCTAGGCAGACAGTAGCTACAGGATCAGCACCCAACAGAAACTCTGAACACTGATCATTAACGAGCTTCCCTGGCAGAAAACATTTTACAATGTCACAATTTGAAACTGAAGTCACACACACCCTGTGTGACTCCCCTGAGAGAGGAGCTGTGAACTTTGTCCCATAGGCCTTTTTCCTTTACTGATTTTGTTTTTTATTGTTCACTGTAATAAATCATGGCTGTAAGTACAACTACATTCTGAGAACTGTGAGTTGTAGCTAATTATCAAGCATGGGGGTTGGTCTTGGGGACCCTGACACACAGCAGATAACTTTTGATCATGGGTATCTGGATCAGAATGAGTCATGGAGGATCCTGATGTAGATGAGAAGACATCAGGTTTCAAGACTGATGTTAGGGATTCGTGTTGCAGCACAGTAGGTTAAGCTGCCACCTGCAAGACCGGCATCCCCTATGAGTGTTGGTTTGAGTCATGGCTGCTGCACTTCCAATCCAGCTCCTTGCTAATGTGCCTGGGAAAGCCGCAAAGCATGGCCCAAGCACCCAAGATGGAGATGGAGTTCCAGGCTCCTAGCTTTGGCTTGGCCCAGTCTCAGCCAATGTGGCCATTTGAGGAATGAAACACTTGTTGGAAGATCTCTCTATAACTTTGACTTTCAAATACATAGATAAATCTTTAAAAAAAAAAAAAAAAAAAGGATTGATGTCAAGCAGAAACAAGACGGAGTGTCTTCCTTGGGGCATGTAGGTATATGCCTGTAATAAGTGTATTCTGTCTGAAGAGAAGGAGTAAATATTGATGGCCAAAAGGACAGAATGTGGTAGACTGTATTATTATTTCCAAATATTTCTCCTTGCTTACAAAAAGATATACATTTCTCTCCACTCCTATGTGATGTCCAATACTTCCCTGTAATCAGGGTAGATGTCTGTTATCTCACTGGATACATTATCACCTGCTTGGGCCAACAGCATGTAAGTAAAAGTGACAATGTCCCAGTTCAGAAGAAACTTTAAGAGGCATTGTATGATTCTGCCTGCTTTCCTGTTCTTCTCCTCTGTTTCAAGAAAAACATGTCCTAAATAGGAGTTATTTTTTCATGACACATGAAGCTATACCAGCCAATCTGTGGCCACAACACATAATACTGATCAGAAAGAAAAGTATGTTACAACAGCCATGAGGTTTAGCCAGGAGATTTATGGACTGATCCATAGCACAACCTAACAAAAGCTGACCAGGTACTTAATCTTAAAGCACACTGATATATTAAATAATGATATTAAAATATTAAATTATAATATTAAAATAATACTTCTAACAACAATTTTAGAGTAGCATAAAGATTCCGCATCAAACTTACGTTTTGGAGCTCTTTCAGGAATTGGAGTGTCATTGACTTTCTCTTCTTTGGCAGGATCCTTATTTTCTGAAGACTTTGGCTTTTTTCTGTGGCGCAGGTCTACAGTTGGTCCTTAAAATATTTGAGACATTATTCCAATGTGTGCATCAAAGTGTTCTAATCTATACTCTGAGCTGATTAACTTCTATTATACCAAAACAAAAGTCATAGTAAAACTTCACTAGTAACAAAGATGACCTCTTCAATTATTTTAATATCCCTTATGATTGCCTTTCATACAAAAAAAGGCAGTGTAGACTCTACCCCACCACCTGTGGTTTGAGAGTCCTACTGATAAACCAGCAACCTCTTCTGATATGAGGCTCTTTTCAAAGTATGCCAAAATAACCAAACTCTTCAAGAATGGCTGAGCAACAAGATATTATTTAGCTCGATACTCTAGTTACCTGAGAGTATCAAATGCATCACTCATGGACTAACAAAATTTTTCAAAATTTACTTATCTATTTGAAAGGCAGAGTTAGAGAGAGAGAGAGAGACAGACAGACACACAGACACACAGACAGGTCTTCCACCCGCTGGCTCACTTCCCAAATGGCTGCAATGACTGGGGCTGGGCCAGGCTGAAGCCAGGAGCCAGGAGTTTCTTCCCGATCTCCCACATGGGTGCAGGGGCCCATGCACTTGGGTCATCTTCTGCTACTTTCCCAGGTACACAGGCAGGGAACTGAATCAGGGGACTCAAACTAGTACTCCAATATGGGATGCTGGCGTTGCATAACCTCAACCTGTTGCACCATAAGATGGTCCCCACATTTTTTTCTTTTTTTATAACTCTCTAAGTTCTGCAGTCTCACACTACTGTGGCACCATTAGCACTGTACTTGTACAATATTACAAATTTAGGCATTAGAATAGGAGGCTTAACTTACAAACACCCCTTTCATATATGTGGGAAGAGCTCAGAAAATTTTCCTAATATTAGACTATTTTATCTCTACTAAAAATAAGACGCGCGTGCTCACTAGGCTAATCTCTGCTTGTGCGCCGGCACACCGGTCCTAGTCCGGTCGGGGCGCCAGATTCTGTCCCGGTTGCCCCTCTTCCAGGCCAGCTCTCTGCTGTGGCCAGGGAGTGCAGTGGAGGATGGCCCAAGTCCTTGGGCCCTGCACCCCATGGGAGACCAGGATAAGTACCCGGCTCCTGCCTTCGGATCAGCGCGGTGCGCCGGCCGCAGCGCGCCAGCCGTGGCGGCCATTGGAGGGTGAACCAACGGCAAAGGAAGACCTTTCTCTCTGTCTCTCTCTCTCACTGTCCACTGTGCCTGTCTAAAAAAAAAAAAAAAAAAAAGAATTGTATAAGTTAACACCAAACCAGTAAGATAAACTCCAAATTAAACAAGAATCTGCTATATATAGCCAGTTTTCCTTCCTTAGAATCCTCCTGTGAGGTAGAAGACTGTGATGTGAGCTCAGAGTGTCCCTGTCAAGTTTATAAGGTGGTATAAGAATTAAACTCTTGGGGTTGGTGCAGTGGGTTAAAGCCCTGGCCCACAGTTCTGGCATCCCATTTGGACATCAGTTCGAGTTCTATCTGCTCAACTTCTGATCCAATTCCCTGCTAATGCACCTGGGAAAGCAGCGAAGCATGACCCAAGTCCTTGGGCCCCTGCACCCACATGGGAGACCTGGAATAATCTCCTGGCTCCTGGCTTTGGATCAGCTCAGTTCTGGCTGTTGTGGCCATTTAGGGAGTGAACCAACGGATGTAAGACCTCTCTGTCTCTACCTCTCTCTGTTAACTCTTTGAAATAAATCTTTGGGAAAAAAATGAATATAACTTTCTTATAGGAATGAGAAAAAGCTTTTTCTTTTCTCTTAGAAACGACATTAGGCTGTGAAGTAAGTCTGAATAAAGGAGTCAAAAAAGGAAAAATGAATCAGCTGCTGCTGCTGATCAGATGGATGCTTCTCTAGCTCCATGTGGAAATGTAAAAAGTGTCTTTTTCAGCAGCTTCATGGTAAATTTCAATGTTTGCCAAGACAGCTTTAAGCACAGGCATAGTAAGAAAAAAAAACATACATTTAACAGATCCAATCTAAGCTCTACCCAATTCAATATCACCATTTATTTTGCATTTGTGTTAAGTAGTAAAAGCTGTGAATAACTAGAAAATGACATTATCAGAAAAGCTACACCATGGATTTTGAGTATTTTTGCACACAACTCTGAATCAATGAATATCACCATATTCCTTTTCCATCATGCCCTTTTAATTTTCCTCTACTTTGAGTTAAGGGAAAATGAGATCTGGTTAACAAAGAATGAATGCTGACATAAAGTCAAATAAATTATTTAGAAGTTATTATTTTAAATGTTATCTTAAGGGGCTGGTGCTATGGTGGTTAAGTGTATATTTTTAAAAATAAATAAATTTGGCCGGCGCCGCGGCTCACTAGGCTAATCCTCCGCCTTGCGGCGCCGGCACACCGGGTTCTAGTCCCGGTCGGGGCGCCAGATTCTGTCCCGGTTGCCCCTCTTCCAGGCCAGCTCTCTGCTGTGGCCAGGGAGTACAGTGGAGGATGGCCCAGGTGCTTGGGCCCTGCACCCCATGGGAGACCAGGAAAAGCACCTGGCTCCTGGCTCCTGCCATCGGATCAGCGCGGTGCGCCGGCCGCAGCGTGCCGGCCGCGGCGGCCATTGGAGGGTGAACCAACGGCAAAAAGGAAGACCTTTCTCTCTGTCTCTCTCTCTCACTGTCCACTCTACCTGTCAAAAAAATAAAAAAAATAAAAAATAAAAAATAAATTTTATCTTAAAAAATACAAGAGGAAAACCACAAGAAATTTACAGAAGAGTTATACTTGCATGACTAAACACATTAATAGTATTGGACTTTTTTTTTTTTAAGATTTATTTATTTTACTTGAAAGAGTTACAAGAGAAGCAGAGGCAGAGGAAGAGAGAGAGTTCTTCCATCCACTGGTTCACTCCCCAAATGGCAGCAACGGCCGAGCTGCGCCGATCCGAAGCCAGGAGCCAGGAGCTTCTCCCAGGTCTCCCATGTGGGTGAAGGGGCCCACGGACTTGGGCCATCTTCCACTGCTTTTCCAGGCCATAGCAGACAGCTGGATCAGAAGTGGAGCAGCCATGACTAGAACCAGCATCCATATGGGATGCCGGCACTGCAGGCTGCAGCTTTACCTGCTATGCCACAGTGCCGGCCCCAGGACTTTTTTGTTTAAGATTTAATAATTTTATTTGAAAGGCAGAGTTACAGAGAGGCAGAGAGGCAGAGGCAGAGACAGAAACAGAGAGAGAGAGAGAGAGAGAGAGACAGAGAAAGAGAGTCTTCCATCTGCTAGTTCACTCCCCAGACGGAAGTGAACTATTAATATTATATAATTAATATTATTAATATTATAATTATAATAATTAATATTGTAATTATAAAATCAATATAATCATAATTATATCTTTATAATTATAATGACTGATATTATATAATTGTTAATATTAATATATTAATAAATATTCTTTATTTTAAATTTTGCACATTGCACTTTAACAATACATCCAAACATTTCTCAAGTGGATGTCTACTTTGTAAAACCATATATTCAGCTCATTGTCATTTCTGTACAGAAGTATAAGTACAACATTACCTTTTGCCACTAAGTTGCTTTAGTAAGTCTCTCAGGAAGAGAAACATTGAATGAAAAGAGACGGCTTAAATCATATGGCAGGCCTGTGCAGCCACGCAACTAAAGACACAAGCCTGAAGAAAGAACAAACTAATGAGGATACCTCCACCGTCTCCCAAAACAAGAAAGAATCACATTGATTTAAGATAAAATTTTGCCACAAGTCACTAAACAGACACAGAGAGAGAGAGACAGAGAAAGAGAGTCTTCCATCTGCTAGTTCACTCCCCAGACGGCCGAACGTCTGGAACAGCGCCGATCTGAGGACAAGGGCCAGGAGTGTCTTCCGGGTCTCCTACATGGGTGCAGAGGCCCAAGGATCTGGGCCATCTTCTACTGCTTTCCAGCAGAGAGCTGGATCAGAAGTGGAGCAGCCGAGACTCGAACCAGTGCCTATATGGGATGCTGACACTGCAGGCAGAGGCTTTACCTGCTATGTCACAGCGCTGGCCACAGTACTGGACTTTAAAAAAACTTAATTGGATAATTTCAGAAGTTAACACATCTACTGACAGTTAAATGTAATGTAGATGACTAACAGGCTGAATAGGAGGGTCTTTTTCACTAGACAGTCTAAAAACAAATATATAATAGACAGATAAATTGGGAAGGGGCATCCATATAATCATTGTTCTTACAAAAAGATATTTACCTTTTAAAAAACTTTATCAAATAAATCATTTTACAGAGACTTTAAAGTATTGTTTAAAAAAAAAGATTTGTTTTATTTATTTGAAATACAGTTACAGAGAGGTAGTGACAGAGAGAGGTCTTCCATCCACTGGTTCACTCCCCAGATGGCCACAATGGCCAGAGCTGGGCCAATCTGAAGCCAGGAGCCAGGAACTTCCTCTGGGTCTCCCAAGCAAGTGCAGGGGCCTTGGAACATCTTCTGTCTGCCTTCCCAGGTGCGTCAGTAGTGAGCTGGATCGGAAATGCAGCAGCCGGTACTAAGAACTGGCACCTGGCCAGCACCATGGCTCACTTGGCTAACCCTCCGCCTGCAGTGCCAGCACACCGGGTTCTAGTCCCAGCTGGGGCACCGGATTCTGTCCCAGTTGCTCCTCTTCCAGTCCAGCTCTCTGCTGTGGCCCGGGTAGGCAGTGGAGGATGGCCCAAGTGCTTGGGCCCTGCACCCCATGGGAGACCAGGAGGAAGCACCTGGCTCCTGGCTTCGGATTGGCGCAGCGCCGGCCGTGGTGGCCATTTTGGGGGTGAACCAATGGAAGGAAGACCTTTCTCTCTGTCTCTTTCTCTAACTCTGTCAAAAAAACAAACAAACAAACAAAAAAAAAACTGGCACCTGTATGGGATGCCGGCATTTCAGGCAGTGGCTTCCCTACTACGCCACAATGCTACCCCCTAAAACCAATTTTTTCCTGTCACCAAGAAACAAAACTGTATGCAAGTTTCATCTCATTTCCTTAATAATGATCTTATAACTTCATAATTGAGAGAGAAGTCATCTCTAGCTGAAAAACAGCAAAGGGCAAAATAATGGACAAAACAGATGCAGTTCCAACAAGAAAGCTCTGGGAAGGAATGAAAGTTTTCTTTTTATCATCTTCTTCTTCTTTTTTTTTTTTTTGACAGGCAGAGTAGACAGTGAGAGAGACAGACAGAAAGGTCTTCCTTTGCTGTTGGTTCACCCTCCAATGGCCGCCGCGCTGCTGCCGGGGAACCGCGCTGATCCTATGGCAGGAGCCAGGTACTTCTCCTGGTCTCCCAAGGACCTGGGCCATCCTCCACTGCACTCCTGGGCCACAGCAGAGAGCTGGCCTGGAAGAGGGGCAACCGGGACAGAATCTGGCGCCCCGACCGGGACTAGGTGGAGGATTAGCCTAGTGAGCCGCGGCACCGCCCAATCATCTTCTATTCTTAGTACTGTAAAGAAAAACCTGCAAATTCAGTCTCTGGTATGGTGATCTTCATATAAAATAGGAGAGTTACCAATGGACTTACAAACACTGTTCAAGTTGTCACTTCTTTGCTCTAATGTACCTTTCAGGACCATAAGTATAAACACTACTACATCAAGGAAGTCACAATTTTTGAAAGATCAGATTCCCACAGAGTATTTACCCAAAGAAAGAGCTGGATCCAAGTGAATGTGAACAAACAAAAAGGGATATAGAGAACAGGTGATTATAAGTAAACTATGGACTATTTTGTCTAACTTCGACATAGTAAATACAAGATAACATGAGCTATTTTTTAAAGATTTATTTATTTAGTTCAAAGTCAGAGTTCCAGAGTCAGACAAAGAGACACAGAGAGAGAGAGAGAGGGAAAGAGATCTTCTAGCCACTCCCCAGGATGGCCACAATGGCCTGAAGCCAGGAATCAGAAGCTTCATCCAGGTCTCCCACATGGAAGGCAGGGACCTAAGTACTTGGGCCATCTTTCACTGCTTTCCTAGGCACACTGGCAGGGAGCTGGATCAAAACTGGAGTACGCAGCAGCCATATGAGATTCTGGCGTGGCAGGTGGAGGCTTTATCAGACACACCACAGTGCCAGCCCCTACATGAGCTGTTTTTTTTTTCTTTTTTAAAAGGTTTATTTATTTATTTATTTATTTGAAAGAGAGAGTTACAGAGAGGCAGAGACAGACAGAGGTCTTCCATCCACTGGTTCACTTCCCAAATGGCCGCAATGGCCAGAGCTGAGCTGATCTGAAGCCAAGAGCTTCCTTGGGGTCTCCTATGTAAGTGTAGAAGCCCAAGGACTTGGGCCATATTCTACTGCTTTTTTAGGCCATAGCAGAGAGCTGGATCAGGAGTGGATCAGCCAGGACTCAAACTAGCGGCCACAGGGGATGCTGGCACTGTAGGCAACAACTATATCCACTACACCACAGCACCAGCCCCTGCATGAGCTATATTAAAAATGTATAGGATGCCAAATAAATAGGAAGTACCTAGAATAATGTCTGACACATAAACAGGTTTGCTATAAATATTATCATTAATAGCATTATTATAGGGATGGGCACTACTGTATAGCAAGTCAAATTACAGCCTGCAATACCTGCATCTTACAATGGAGTAACCAGTTCATGTCCTGGCTCCTCCACTTCCAATTTAGCTTCTTGCTAATGCATCCTGGGAGGCAGCAGATGATGGTTCCATGTGGAAAACCTGAATGGAGTTCTGGGTTCCTGGCTCTGGCTTAGCCCAGCCTTGGCTATTGTAGGCATTTGGGGAGTAAGCAAGAAGATGGAAGATGCCTATTTATCTATCCTTGCAAATCCAACTTTCAAGTAGATGAAAATAAATAAATAAATAAAATTTAGGGGCAGGTGTCATTGCACAGTGGGTTAAGCTGCTGCTTTATATGCACACAACTCATACCCGAGTGTGGGTTTGAATCCCAGGTAACCTGCACTTACGATCCAGCTTCCTGCTACTAATGGGTCTGGGAGCCAGCAGAGGATGGCACAAGTACTTGGGTTTCTGCAACCATTGTGGGAGATCTGGATCAAGTTTCTGGTGTCTGGGTTCAATCTAGCCCAGCCCTGGCTGTTGCAGCCATTTAGAGAGTGAACCTACAGATGCAAGATCTCTCTCTCTCTGTCTCTTCCTCATTTTGTCACTATGCTTTCAAATAATATCTCTTTTTAAAATGAGAATTTAATTACTCATTGTTGACTATTTATATCCCAGCACCTGTCAGTGCAGGGACCCAAATATTTATGTAGTTAAAAATTTGTTGAATGAGGAGCTGACATTGTGGCACTGCCACCACCTGCATCAGCCCATATTGGTGTGCCAGTTTGAGCTGTGGATGTTCCACTTCCAATCCAGCTCCCTGCTAATGTGCCTGGGAAAGCAGCAGAGGACAGCCCAAGTGCTTCAGCCCCTGTACCTACATGTGTAACTCAGACGAAGCTTCTGGCTTCAGCCTGGCCCAACCCCAGCTATTACAGCCAGCGTACCAGGGGATGGAAGCTCACTCCCTCTACCTGTCTAGCCCAGTCTCTGTGTAATTCTTTCAAATAAATAAATCTCTAAAGAAAAATAAGCTGAATGAAACTATGTTTCTTTTTTTTTTTTTTCATTTTATTTGAAAGGCAGAGTTACAGAGAGACAGAGGCAAAGAAACAGAGACAGAGACAGACAGAGTCTTCCATCTGCTGGTTCATTCCCCAGATGGTTGCAACGGCTGGAGCTGTGCTGATCCGAAACCAGGAGCCAGGAACTTCTGGGTCTCCCACGTGAGTGCAGGGGCCCAAGGACTTGGGTCATCTTCTACTGCTTTCCCAGGCCTTAGCAGAGAGCTGCATTGGAAGTGGAGCAGCCAGGACTTGAACCAGCGCCCAAATGGGATGCCGGCACTGCAGGCGGCTGCCTTACTCGCTACGTCACAGCACCGGCCCCCCCAAAACTATGTTTCAATAATACTGTAATCCATTAACTATTCTATATAAAATGTATTTATTGCTTTTGGATTACTGATAATTCTATAACCAAAAATCATTTATCATTCTATACTACAAGTGGATTTTATAAAATTACAGTTTTTCATTGGTTTCATATCTATTTAATTAGGTATCACTTTGTATGATGTACAAAGCTTTTAAGTATTGAAGAATTAATTTTTTTCATGTTTTAACTTAAGCATGAATGTACTCATGGGAACATACTATCTAGTTTATCAACCTATCCCAATTGATTTGCAATAGTCAGAGAAGGAAACCATACCACGTAATGTTCCAAATGAAATATACTGCCACCACAGACAAAACCAGGCAAACAAATGGAATTACATTCTTCATTACCACCTACAAATAGCATTGGTTTTGAAGCTGTTTTTAGGCAGAGTGTCATAAATTTAGAGCAGCGCTAAATCTCTGAAAACTCCAGGAAGAGGAAGGAAATGAAAAGGAAACATGAGCCTAAGGGCAGGGTAGCAAGTCACAGAGCAGTAAACACTTCTTAGTTTTTTTAAAAAGCTTTCTTTCCGTTGAATTCTTTGCATTTTTGGTTCGAAAAGGTTTACACCTAAATCAACTCTCCTATCATAACTCAAAATTCAAGCAAGTAAAAAGCCACGTCTTCCACCAGAAATGCAATCCCTAACTGCTCAAAGGACGCACACATTCCTATTCTTGAAACCAAGTGGAGGGACCATGAAGTTGTTAATGCCATGAATATTTCCTTGTTCGATCTAGCCTTAGCTGGTAAGTTTCTTCCAACTTCCCATTCTGCTCCCACACCTCTCTCTCACTTTGGACAGACATCCTGCTGGACGAATTCGTCTTCTCAGCGCCGGCTCTGAGGCGGCGTGCAGACCCTTCCCCACTCCCATCCACTGGACCCCCCTCCGGGCCTCGCCATCCCCCAGCCGAGACCACCTACACGTCTCTGCCGTTTGCCATTTCCCACTCGTCCTAAGTGACCGTGGCCTTCTTCACCGTCTGCGTGTTCATGCCCTTCCAATTCACTTACCGCGTTAACCCCAAATACCTGTCTCGATTTACACTCGTGGCGCGCGTGCCCTCGCACACTTGAGCTTCGTCCGCGTCCACGCACCTCTACAGATGGCGCTCAGGACGGGGGGGATCCCCGGCTAATCAGCTGT